TTTATCCTTGGGGATTTGTTCAATGAAGAAAGTCTGGGCTTAATGTTTTTGACAGAGACTTGGCAACGGGAGCAGGAATTTATTCATCTGAATGAACTGTGTCCTCCAAACTGTTCCGTGTTTGGGACCCCGCGGGTTGCCAGGCGAGGAGGAGGACTTGCGCTCATCTATCAGGACTGCTTTTCCTGCAGGCTCATGAAGCCAGATTCTTTCAGCTCTTTTGAACTACAGATGACTAAGGTTGGGAATTTTGACTCATTTTATTGTGTTTTAATTTACAGACCTCCTGGTCCTGCCCGTGCGTTTTTAGAGGATTTTTCTGAATTTGTATCTTCTGTTATCAAGCTGGAGAAAATTTTAATTCTTGGTGATTTTAATATTCATATTGATGACTCATCCTCCAATGCAGCATCAGAGTTACTGTCACTCACAGAGGCGTTTCATTTCAAACAGCATGTTTCTGGGCCTACACATAAGAAGGGACATACTTTGGACCTTGTCTTCTCTTTTGGTCTCATCATTGACCAGCTGAGTGTGGTGGATGTTCCTGTCACCGACCACTGCTGCATCTATTTTAATTTGTCTTTTAACCTCAACAGTTGTCCTCATAAAGTGATTTCTCAAAGGCGAATTATCAATCTAACTGCTGTTGAGAAATTCTCAGAATCTTTTGAGTCCAGTTGTTTTGCTAGTTGCAGTGATGCTGATTCCTTTGTGGAGTCTTTTAATAGTCACTGCCTGTCTGTCTTAGATGAGGTTGCTCCTGTAAAGCACAAAATATCCTCTCGTAAAAACTCTTGTCCTTGGAGAAATGAGGAAATTGTGTTGTTCAGAAGATCATGTCGTAAGGTAGAGCGTCTGTGGAAATCTACAAAACTTGAAGTCCACAGACTACACTTAAAGGAGCTGATCTCAACTCTAAATGATATGATTAAACAGGCCAGGTCTGCATATTTTTCTAATCTTGTGAGTATGAACAAGAAAAATCCAAAAGTCTTGTTTGATACCATTAATAATATGGTTTCACCTTCACTCCCTCTGGTGCCTGTACTCACATTAGATGACTGCAATAGATTTTTAAACTATTTTGTGGAAAAGGTTGACAACATCAGGGCAAGTGTTAAATCAGCTCTTGGTGTCACCCCCAGTTCTGTCCCTACAGTGAGCCCCTGGTCTTCATTTTCACCTGTCATCTTAGAGGATGTGAAGGTTGTTCTAAAAAAGATCAAACCTTCTTCCTGCATGCTAGATGTTGTACCCCCATCACTGTTTTTAAAGGTGTCTGATACTGTCAGCCCCCATGTGGCAGAATTAATTAACATTTCTCTCTCAACCGGGTCAGTTCCAAGTTTTTTGAAACAAACGATTTTAAATCCGATCTTGAAAAAGCCCAACTTGGACCCCACTGAGCTCTGCAACTACAGGCCAATATCAAAAATACCTTTTCTCACCAAAATTCTTGAGAAGTTAGTGGCTGGGCAGATGACTACTTTCTTGCATAATAATAATATTCTTGATAAGTTTCAATCTGGTTTCTGCAAGATGCACTCCACTGAAACTGCCTTATTAAGAGTCTCCAATGACATATTGATGGCTGCAGACTCTGGTCAGAGCAGTGCTTTGATTTTATTGGATCTGTCATCAGCTTTTGACACAGTCGACCACAAAATAATGATACATCGACTGCAACATGAGATGGGATTTTCTGGAACTGTTCTTAAGTGGTTTTCTTCTTATCTGAGCAACAGAACCTTTTCAATGTTTGTTAATAACATACAGTCTAAGACCACTCCGTTACTGAATGGTGTTCCTCAGGGTTCAGTGTTGGGTCCTATTCTGTTCCTTCTGTACATCACCCCCCTGGGAAAGATTATCAGTAGCTTCAGAAATGTGTCTTACCATCTCTATGCTGATGATATTCAACTGTACTGTTCCTTTTATGACTCAGAATTACATAAGTTAGCCGAATTAGTAAACTGTGTTTCACATATTAAGGCGTGGTTAGCTAACAACTGCCTTCAGTTGAATTCTAACAAGACGGAAACCCTGATCATTGCCCCTGAACAGAAAGTTCCCTGGATTAAACAACACCTCGGTTCTCTGGGCTCCTCTTCTCAGCCGAACCTCAGAAACCTCGGTGTTCTGTTCGACCAGTCCATGTCTTTGGACAAACATTCAAAGCTTCTGGTAAAAAACTGCTTTTATCATCTGAGAAACATTTCTAAACTGAGGGCAATGTTATCCAGATCTGACCTGGAGATGATTATTCATGCTTTTATTTCTTCTCGTTTAGATTATTGTAATTCCCTTTTTACTTGTTTTAACAAAACTGCCGTCGCTCGTCTCCAGTTGGTCCAGAACTCTGCTGCGAGGCTTTTAACAGGAACGAACAGAAGGGCTCACATTACACCAGTTTTATCTTCTCTTCATTGGCTGCCTGTTGAATTTAGAATTAATTTTAAAATCTTAGTTTTGACTTTTAGAGCTTTAAATGGACAGGCCCCCCAGTACATCACTGAAATGTTGTTTCCTTATTCTCCAGCCCGCACCCTTCGGTCTTCAGCGCTGAACCTTCTTAAGGTTCCTAAGACCCGGTTTAAAACTCGGGGTGACCTGTCCTTTCAGGCCGTAGCCCCCCGCCTGTGGAATGCCCTGCCCCTGTCTCTCCGTGTGAACGACTCTGTTGATTCTTTTAAAACGCAGCTTAAGACACTTTTATTTCGTCAAGCTTTTAGTTAAATGTTTTACTGTTTTTTCCAGCTGTTTTTACTGTTTTTATTAATGAGTTGTTATTATTTTTGTTTTATTTTAAGCCTTTATTTCTTTATTGTTGTACAGCACTTTGTGATTGTATCTATGATAAGTGCTATATAAATAAAGTTTACTTACTTACTTACGTTTCGATCCTCGGAGCCTGCAATGACTTTTTAAATCCAGCAGATGTCGCCATTAAGTGATCCAGCAAGAGTTTGGGAGATGTGCCACACACAACGAGGCCTCGTCTCCCATCACTACACAGCGCTGTGAACAGCCGGCCTCCTTAGCCGTGAACTTTAGTGTCTTCCCCATGGAGGGTATCCACGATGCTCTTCTGGACACTTGTTCTGTCTGCAGTCTTCCCCATATTCTTCTTCTTCATGGGGTTTTATGGCGGTTGGCAAACAACGGAAGGTGTGCATCACCGCCCCCTACTGGTGTGGAGTGTGGATCAAACTGGCTACGTTTATATTCTTTTGTCTAATTGTGTTTTTGAAAAAACGTGTAATGATTTGAATACTTTTACTTCTCATTTCCTTTTGCAATATATTTATTATACTAAATGTTTCTTTGATTTTTCCTAATTGTTCTATCATACGCCTTCTGTGATGTTCATATTTCTGACAGAGCAAAACGACATGTTCTTGTTTCCTCCTGTCCACAGCGCTCACATTGTCCTGTATCATGTTCCTGAATCTTGTGTAGTGAGCTGTTAAGTCCTGGATGTCCAAATCTTGCTCTGGTTATTAGTCTTCTTCTCTTCTGGTCCTCCTCCTGTTCTCGTTTGTCCCACTTGTCTCTGTATTCTGTAGTACCATCTTCCTTTGTGCTCTTCTTCCCACGGTTTCTGCCATTTTCCCTTTAGTTTTTGTTTCTCTATGGTTCTTCCCCATATTGAACCAAACAGACAATTTAATGACACCTGGGGAAACCTGTGCAGGTGCTTTGAGTTTAGTAATTAGTGTCACTCAGTTTAAAACATTCATGTCCTGCAACATCTGGCCTGATGGCTTCACAGTATTCTAATGTTTTGAAATCCTGTTTTCGTGAGTTTCATGAGCTGGAAGACCAAATTATGTAAAAATAAATACTTGAAATAGTGGGCCCTGAATCGATCATCTATTAAAGATTAACTTTTTGAATGGAATTATTGAAGTTAAACAACTTTTCCATGATAATTTTTTGGAAAGGGTTTGTACGTAGATAACTGATTAGATTCAAATGTTTAAAAATAAGTCACTTTTTGCAAGTTTTCTAAATAAAAATCACTTCTCTGATGAAACTTTGTGCCATTTGGAGCTACGATTCAGTAAAAAACAAAAAGTGTTGATTCTCATACGACAAATGACTCATGATCAACGTTTCTCCACGTTTTAACGGCACACATGGGATCTTATTTGGACCTAGTCTCATCTGCAGCTAGTCTTTTATTCAAACATGACTTAAATCTGCAGCTGCATTAAATATGTAATTACTCTCTAAATTAAAATGCGCCGTACCAGGAAGAAAGTCACTTTGAAAAGGTTTTAAATAAAGAATAAAATGAGTTACAGCACATACGTTTAACTCTAAGAAAAAAGAAGCAAATTTTAAATATTTCACAACTGTTGAGAAAGGGGGTCTAGATTATGATCATTTCTATTTTGGGGGGATTAAGGGTGCATTCACACCAGCCCCGTTTAGTCCGCTTTAATCGAACTGTAGCTCGTTTTCCTAGAAATCCGGTTCGTTTGGGGAGGTGTGAACGCGCCATCGAACTCTGTCCTGGGTCTTCCTCTGGGTCTCCTCTGGGTGGGACATGTCCGGAACACCTCACCAGGGAGGCGTCCTAACCATAGATGAGGGTAGGAACGTAGATCGATCGGTAAATTGAGAGCTTCGCCTTTTGACTCGGCTCTCTTCACCACGACAGACCGGAACAGCGCCCGCTTCACTGCAGACGCTGCACCTATTTGAGAGTTCGTTTATGGAAAAAGCCTTTTTTTAGGTGTTTGGAAATGTTTAACAATTTTATAAAATCCAACACTCAAAAATTGTAAAAAGTTCACACTTAAAGGCACTAAAAGCAGAGAAATTTAGAGCAATATCTTTTTACTCATTTTGTTGAAAGAAATGATTAAAAATGACTTAACGTACAAAAATGACAAGTTCAGTTACAGGATTTCAAAATCATTTAAAAAAATCCACTTGTTCATTAAGTGTCAAATAAATAACGTATTAAAACATGACTAAAGTTTGAGTGCTGCTAACGAGGCTTTGACTTTGGTGCCCAGACGTGTCGACTTGAACACGTTTTCACCAAAAACTCATGAAACTGGAGAGAAATCAGAAACGGAAAATAAAAAAGCTGCGTGCTCATCTGAAATCAAGTATAAATTCACCATCAACATTTACAGCCATGAAAACATTGAACTGCAATAATCTCAGATTAAACCGGGCCCGTATATGGTCAGAGACGTCCGGTTCCGACAGAACCTTCAGGTTCTGAACGAGGAACTGTCAACGAGGAGCACCCGAACGCACCGTTTCTCTCACTAATGTCCTTTCTTCTTCTTCTTCTTCTCCAGCAAACCTTCGGCTGATTTCTCTTCCTGTTGGGACGTTTTTCAGCTTCTTCTCGTGAAAGGCTTTTAGGGCCGAACCAGAACCGGTTCCAGAGCTCGTGCTGCAGGTTGATGATGAGGTGAAACCTCAGCGGCGCCTCTCCTGGTCCGATTCTCTGACAGCGTGACTCGTCGTTTTTGTTCCGTGTCCATCAGACAAGGACCGTTCGGTTCTGGTTTCCAGCTACGAGTCCAGAACCTCTGCTTCCGTCCGTCTGTCGGACCATCGGTGCGCTCCAACAGCTTCTCCTCTTCCCTCGCTCCGTCTCTTGGCGAGGTCGCTGGCGATGGCCAGAGCTCCTCCCTTCAGGAACCGAACAAAGTTCTCCCCGACCAACGGGCCCATGGCGTACAAGCCGGGCCCGTCCGCCGCCAACACCCTGTTGGTGAACGGGTCCACGTCGATGGGGTTCCTCCGGCAGGAGATTGGGTCATCGGGGTTGATGCCTAACGAACGCCCGGTGTCGTGCAGAAAGGAAAGGTTTGGGTGGGAGCCGATCAGAACCAGCGCCTTGGAGACGCGGACCACCGCCTGCTCACCGGAGTCAGACTCCAGGACGCACTTCCGGTCGGGTCGGAACGCCACAACTCTGTGGCGCGGGAAGCTCAGGTAACCCGTGTACGAGGAGGAGGAGGACGAGCTGGAGTGAAGGTTCTGGGCCGGTTCCTGCAGTGGACGGGTCGGCTGGTGCTGTTGCTGGGTCATCATCTGATGCACCTGGAAGACAAAGATCAGGGTAAAGAGCGTCTAAAACTTTATTTAAAGCTCTGAACTCCTGAAACACGACATCATTAATGTGTCAATCAAAATGGTTCAGATGGTTGACGAGTGTCGACAGGAGCTCGTCCAGCCTCTTTAAAATGTACCAGTTGTTTTACTGGTTTTAATCGTTTTGTTCCTGAACGCAGCAGCTCTCGCACCTTGTGGTACTCCGGGTAGAGGAGCTTGGGCAGCTGGTTGAAGATGAGGTCCGGGTCGGCCACAGAGCGCCTGAAGGCGTGGTACACCGGCGTGTTCAGATGGTGGGCGGCCAGAACCGCATCGGCCGCCGTAAGCCCCGCCCCCACCACCAGCACCGGGTCAGAGGACTGGTCCAGTTCTCCGCGGGATATGGCCGCCTCCAGCTCCCAGAAGGAGTGGCAGACGAAAGGCAGCGCCTCCCCCGTCACGCCGAGTCGGGCCGGGATGTCGTGCGTGCCCGTGGCCAGAACCACATTGTGGGCCAGCAGGGAGAATGGCACCTCCTCTGGAGAACCTTCTAGAAGCAGAGAAAAGGAGCATGCTGACTCCGTCACCACCAAACGAACCGTTCGTGTTGGAGCCATATTCACCTCCCAGCTCCTCGCCCTCCCGGCACTGCAGCCCCGACACTCTCCAGCAGGGCGGCGACGCCTCCCGGCTGCCGGGCTCCCTGGTTACCGAGGTAACTGTGGTCCCGCAGGCAAAGTTCTGCCCCAGGGACATCTGGGAAACGTAGTGCTGGTAGTAGGAGGCGATCTCTGCAGGGGTGGCACGATCATTTCTCACGTTCCTGCAACAACAACAAAAAAATTGTTTTAACACAAATGCACAAAAAGAACAGAATCAGACGTGCAGAACAACAACAAGTCTTTTTTAATCATTAAATTAACTTTATGAGAAACTGCTGTTGCAACAGAAGTCTAAAAGAGAAGACGAATAGTGAGATTTGTTACGGCACCAAACAGTTTTCTCTCGCTCGCTCTCGAGCACCACGGATGCTCTCCTTCCTGTGTATCTGAGCTTTTATTGACACGTCTTCCAATCGTAAACTACTGTCATGGATTTGGTCCTCTGGACTTTCAACACAACTGATAAACTTTTCAACTAAGCGACAGGGTGCTGGAGAGCCCTCATGCCCAGCTGAGACGCACCCGGCTGGGTACGTCATGGATCTGGGGGGGGGAGACTGATGTGCCTTTCTGTGTTGTCTCTGGAGGATGTCAAAGATTTATACATCATTGGATCTATGACAGCAGGGTTGCTGTTTTTGGCACCATCAGAAATCTGTTATTGCTATTAAAGAAGACGGCGGCAGCAGTTTCGGCCACGGCAAAGCTGCCAACCTTATGTGAAGGATTAATCCGGGCTTCGAGCTCTCAGACTCTGCTTCATCTTACG